ACTCGATTGGGAAAAAGTGCGGTTCGACTCCTATTCGGCCAAACAATGCAAAGACAAGTGGTTTGAAGTGATGAACAGAGTATGTCTGCCGTTATTATTACAATACAATTCATATACCATTGATTCACATCTCCTGTATTATATGCCAGTGCTTTAATTACTACCATATTCTGTTTGCGTGACACAACTGTATTGGTTCTAATACCTGTACCCTTATGTACAGTACAAGTGTTGCAATTCCTATCCCTTCTAACACCTAATCATTTGTTTGAAAAGTTAGAAGCGATTACGAATAGCTCTTGTTATTATAAGTTATTATTAATTAGAAGATAATTAATTAGTTTCACATCTATTATGAGATATTAGCAATGATTTAAAATGAAGTTTTACATCTTTTTATATTAAAAGTTGGCATTTGTTAATACAGTATCTATCATTTGTAAGTTTGAGATGTTTTTAGTTGAATATAACTTCCGACGAAATACCGGTAATGGGTTAAAGGATATAAAATATGTTATTGTATTATTTTTGGCACTTTTTTAGAGTTTGATTAATACAGTAAAAGTTTTTGTATAGTTTTCGCAGCACTTTTTGCAACATTACTGCGGTTGAAACATATACTTATAGGCGGAATGATTAAAATGCATTAATTTTGGCCAACAGTTGCGCCGATACCGGACGCTGACCGATATGGTGACGGACGCGCGGGTGTGGTTGAAGGCGCCCTGGCAGACGTACAACAACGCCAAAAAGGTCAAACACCCGGACCTACCAAAGAAACCGTTGACACCATTCTTCCGATACTTCATGGAGAAGAGGGAGAAGTCGGGTAAATCACATCCCGGTTCCAGTGTTACCGATTTGGCCAAACTATTGTCGGGAAAGTTCGCGCAACTAAACGACCGAAAGAAGCAGAAATACAAAGACGCTTACGATAAGGAGTACAACGAATACAAAGTGAAACTCCAGAAGTTTAAAGTGGATCACCCGGAGGTGGAGTTCGGCACAATGAACAAGACTCAGTCATCGCACGGTCACGCGCAGGAGGGGCCGCCCAAACCCAAGACACCCATTCAGCTCTTTATGGAGGAGAAGACGAAGAAGATTGCGCCCAACAGTGAGGGCCGCAAAGAGGCGGTCGACAAGATCCGACACACGTGGTCTCAGTTGAGCGAAGGCAAGCGAATCAAATGGATTCGCCGTTCGCTGG